AATATTCTTTTCTATCAATATACAAATACAGTCAACCTTCTTGATAACAAAATGCTAGTCTGAATATAAAGAAAGTTTACTATATAAAGGCTATGGTTTCTTAAGAACCAGAGCTTTTTATATTAAAATAATATAAAATTCAAAAATTTTAGTTTGCATATTCAGAATTTATTACAGAGGTTTACTATAAATAAAGTTAAAATTTTGCCATTATTTGAGTGATTTTACTGTGCTGTATAACAGAGATATCTAGAATGTCAAATATAAAAAAATCTTGTATTAGCAGTTAGAATGAAAGCCTGCTATGATATATCAGATATCTGTTTTGCTTATATAATTTCAAATTGAGTATTTCTATTGGCCAATATATTAAAAAAATTTAAATTTCAAAATTCAACTTGACTGACCCATCCAGGATATGAAAACCAATTATATAAGTTTGTATTACCTAAGTATATTGTTATTTTTTTAAAAAATCTTCACTGTATCTTATATCGAAAGTTTATTATTGAAACTTTATTATATCAAGTGAAATATTAATACAATAGTTTGGTTTTGTTCTAAAAAAATCTTCACTATAAGTCAATATTCACTATATCAAAGGTTCACTATAATGAAAGTAACTTGTATATAACTTTAATTTCTTCAAAACTAAATAAACAATAAAAGTTTTTTTTAAATTTATAAAAAGTTATTTTGAATTATTTTATATTTGAAGAAATTATATTAATTTAAAATTTTATTATAAAACATATACGACCTACTATCCCTCACTGTTAAAAAAATAGTATTACTAAAAGCACCATTAGTGTTTAACACATAATTGCTATATTACAAAAATCTACTAGCTAATTCACATCAGGTATACTAAGTAAAAATATTCAGAACTCCAAAAATCTTATGCTAACTAAACTTTGATCCTTTATATCTAACTCCTATCTTAGTCTGTAGTTGCATCCTAACACTAAATTTTAGTAAAAAAATATAACCACAATAGATGCATTTATAATTTTTGAAAAAAAAGAGAAGATGTATGTCTAATTAGCTAATCAAAATTAACTACACACAAAGAGTCTCTCTATATATATATATTAGATTTTTTATCCTGACCGATACTGTATAACCAATTAACAAATTAAGTGATACACTATAAAATATGGCAGCTATTTATGGAAACAATGGAAATACAGATTTTATTTCGAGGACAAGTAAATATCAATGATGTCAAAAAGACCAGCAAATTGAAAAAATATTGTGATTATTGGTAATATGCACCCAAAAGCCAAATGTAAGGAAAAAAATTTTGAGCTTAATTGCTATTCTTTATTATAAAGTTTACTATATGTACTTGCTACTAACATTCCCTTGAAAGAATATGCTGAAAAAAAGGATAAGCATAATGTTTATAACTAGTGAAAATATGAAAACAGGACGGTTTGTATAACAACTCCCTTCACCATTCCACGAGAGCTGTATTGGTGCTATTGTGAAGAGAATTATTTTAACAATTGCAGTCATAACAAAACTTCAAGTGAATAGCAGTGGATGTGATAAAGGAGTATGAATAGTCAACTTGTTTATTCTGTCTTAAATTTCTTGCATTGACAATAACTTTATATTTTTAGAATTATCCTGACTGAATCTAGTAGTGGAGGTTGCATACTCAGTATTTGAAGCGAATGTCAGAAATAAAATAACTTGCAGATAGGGTTCTGTATGGGCTGGATTATCCATGGAGCATCCATGGACTGGTTCAATATGGTTCAGGTTTAGTCCAAAATTTTTGACCATAGATAATTGAGTCTAGATCCAAAAATCCAAATTGGTCAAAAGTATAGATATCATTATTATAACTACCCCAGTATCATTTAAAAAATGTTGTAGTCACATGATAATCGATAGAAGATTAGCCAATAATGAATCATGATTTGGTGTAATGTAATATGATCAGAAAATTTCAAAACATACCAAAATCGCTTATTTCTCACAAATTTACATGAGAAACTATCTTCTAAGCATTAACAAAAAGCTTTCCTTGAGCGATTTGCTACTAGGACCCCTTCTCTCCAACTCTAAAATAATTTTTACCCTAACATAAATGAACTTTAAAGAATTTTTCAAATTTCACATGACTGCAACAATTTCAGGTGATACTGGTGAAGATCATCATCATTTCCTGATTATATGATGCCAAAATTACAAATTCAGAAACTCTAATTGCCAGTTATGATTTTATAATGCATAGCTTTACTTATTTGTGCTGATAATATAAACTCCTAAAAAAGAAACAAAATTGAAGATCCTATAATAAATTTAAAGGTTTTTAACACTTCTAGCAATGATTTTTCAATAATTACTTGATCAAATTTAGTAAAAATTATTTATTTTAATTCAATAATTCTTTAGAATCAAAAGAAAAAAAAGTTCATTGAATTTGATTTAGTAGTTGTTGAAAAATCACCTTTAAAAGTTTTAAAAACTTTCTTTGAACTTGAACAAAAATTTCTCGACAACCAACTACAGTTAGACCTTCTAAATGCTACCCCCCTAAGTGCATGTCCTATGAAACACCTCTCTAAATGCATGTCTTCTCTTGGGCTCAACTAATATTACATCTATAGATTTTTACCTCCCTAAATGCAATACTTCTCTAAGTGCACGTTTGACTAAATTTTTATATATGGTCCTGTTGCATTGCATTTAGGGAGGTCTGACTGTATCTAAATTTGATGAAAATTTTTTTATTTTAATTCTGAGGATTCATATCGAGAAATATTCATTAAAAGTTAAAAATTTTTGACTGCAGCTACTTTTTAAAGACATCTAAACTTTGAACGAAGATCACTCGGCATTTACCTGATCAAATTTGATCAAAATTTTTTTATTTTAATTCTATGAGCATATATATCAAAATAAAAAAATTGATTGAATTTGATCAGGTAAGTGCCGGGTAATCTTCGTTCAAAATTTAGGCGTTTATAAATAAAAAGCTGCAGTCAAATTTTTTTAAATTTTACAGCCAGCTATTCAAATTCGATCAATTTTTTTTTTATAATTCTACAAGATTGTAGAATTAAATAAAAAAATTTTCATCAAGTTCGGATAGTTGGTTGTCAAGAAGTCTTCGTTTAATGTGTAAGTAAAAAATTTATTGTAACATAACGAAGATTTCTCAGATTACTTGACACTTACCTGGTTAAATTCAATCAATTTTTTTATTTTAATTCCATATGATCATAGAATTAAATAAAAAAATTTTGATCGAATTTGACCAGGTAAGTGCCGAGTAACCTTCGTTCAAAGTTTAGATATCTTTAAAAGGAAGCTGCGGTCAAAATTTTTTTAAACTATTAATGAATATTTCTCGACAATCAGCTATTCAAATTCGATCAAATTTTTTATTTTAATTCTATGAATCTCCAGAAATAAAATAAAAAAAATTTCATCAAATTCGAATAGTTGGTTGTCGAGAAATATTCGTTTAAAGTTCAAAGAAAGGAAAATTTACCCGATTTTGATTTTTTTCCGATATTTTATGTTTTTAAAACTTTTAGCGTTGATTTCTCGACAACTACTAAATCAAATTCAATGAACTTTTTTTTTCTTTTGATTCTACAGAATTACTGAATTAAAATAAAAGAAATTTTACTGAATTTGATCAAATAGTTATTGAGAAATCATCGCTAGAAGTTTTAAAAACCTTCGAATTTATTAATAGGATCAATTTTATTACCGGCACAAATAAGTAAAGCCCATCATGCCAAACTTTGTATTGACTAGTCTTATTAATAGGCTTGGCATTATTGCGTAAATGTTCGAATAGCTTCCAGTGCATTAAATCCTACAATGGTATTATATGTGTTTTTATCAAATAATTGAAAACGAACTTAAAGTATTCTTTTATTTAGTATCATTTGGAACAGTTGACCGTCATGGTGTTCTAATGTTATCAACATTCAATTGAGTTTTCTTTATGATGGTATGCCAGCTAATTTTGTGATTCCATCACCTCCTCCACCTAATCCTATTCCTGTTGATCTATCTATATATTTTCATGTTCGGTTCGCTATTTTAAATTGTATTGTCTAGATACAATATTTAGATATGTGCCTTTACATTAGTAACTTTAAACAATAGAATTATGTAGAACTTTTATTATACTGTGCTACGATAAATATAACTTCATCTTAGCTATATATTATTTAATTACTTGGATCACTTAGTTTTAAACAAGTAACTAAGTTATTGATTAACTTTGCGTATTTTTTTTTTTTTTTTTATATATAATTAGCCAATTAGAATACAAAGATATAATCTAAAAAAATAAACTAGCTTGAAAAAAATGCGTATCTTATGTTTTTACTATTGCATTACGTTTAATGTTACTTAAACATGTTTTTTAATATTATATCTAATTTTGCATTTTGATTATAAATACAAGTATTTGAAAATTCAGAGAATTTAGGCAATAAAATTTATGCTACTGATATATGAGAAGGTGCTAAAAAAAAGAAGGAAAATAACAATTTTACTAATGTTTTTTAAGCGAAACTAATTCAAAATTAGCTTACCGTTACGTAGAAATCATTTGTCTTATTAAAGAAATACTATTGTCTTAATAAAATTTTGCAATATATAGTTAAAATACTAACGTTAGAGATTATCAAGGGCCAATCAAAATGCAAGAATTTTCATAGTGATTCGAGAATGGATTTTTAATAAATTTTGAGCATTATGTGATCAGCTATGCATTTACTAGATATGTGTATCCTCCTAAATTTAGAAGTACTGATCTCAATATGAACCCTGTTAAACTGTTACACGGCTTGTGAAATTCATACCATTTCCTAACAAATGAAGGCATTAAAAATAACACAAGATGTCGATAAATAACGTATGTACGTACGTACGTACGTATGTGCATATATATACATTATACTGTTACGTATAATCTTTCAAGTTAAAAATTTTCCTCAAGAGCTGTCCATATAAAATATAAGATGACGCAGCAGCTTTTTGCGGTAGCACGTCATATTTACCTAATCGATCCAGAAACGGGTGCATTCAAAGAATATAATGCTGAAGACTGGTCTTCAACAATCTCTGGTGCACTTATTCCCTCAACTCATAAAATTTACGTTACCACCACATTCAACAATCTTTGGGAAATTTCTTTAGCTAACAATAATGTTCGAAAAATAAGTTGGGATAGTTGGAGTTCTTGTAATACTTTAGTTGCAGTTCCAGATGATTCAAGCGAATGTAGTTTCAAATTATTCGCATTTTGCCATAAGCTTTGGTTGATTGACGACCCTAATACTGGACATTGTACTGATTTTTTGGGTGGATATACTGATATTTGGGCCAGAGTTAATGCTGCAGCTGCTGTAGGACAAAAAATTTTTGCTACAACGTCAGCTAATAATTTGTGGTGCGTTGATACTATTACTAAGGAAGCAAAGCAATTGGGCAGTGGGTCAGATAATTGGTCAAATTGCAGGGCTTTGGCCTATACTGGTGGTAAATTATTGGCATTCTGTTATGGATTATGGGAAATTAATACGAATAATGGTGATTATACACCATTTTTCGATAAGGATTCGGAGGAGGCCAAAAGATCTTGGCTAGGGGTAAAAGCGGTTACTGTTATTGATACCTGTGTTTATGTTGTGGCAGGGGATCAACTGCTGGCATTGGACACGATTAGTAAGAAGATCAGAGAAGTAAGTAAGGATAATTGGGGTTCCACGAAAGTTTTGATTTCTGTCGTATTATCTGAAGGCTAAAGATAAAAAGTCCTAGTAATTATATTTTCTTGTATCAATTCTTATATAGTTTTTTTATACTTAAAATATTTTCATATATGAAATTTTAGTAAAAAGGATTCATTTGTATTCAAATGCGAATCACGTATACTATTAGTACTACAATCATCTTTCTCTAATCTGAACCTATTATAGTTTTTTTAGTTTCAATATAGTACTAATTAATAACTCAAATAATGTTATTTCAGATTTTATTAGAACTAACAGAACGATTAGTAATGTTGTTAGGTTTATTATATTTTTGATATTTTACTAATAGTTTTTATTAGTTCTGATTTCAACCTAGAGATAACACGATTTGTAGGGTTATTAATGGAGTGCTCCAGTCCATAATAAAACATATAACCCATTCTGGAGCACTCCAGAAGCGGGTTATATGTTTTATTATAGTCTGGAGTACTCCATTAACAACCCTAACTATTTGAGCCATTAATTAGTGCCATATTGGGACTAAAAAAGCTATAATATTTGCCCAATATACTTTATTTTGACTAGTAATAGGCAGTTCAATAAAGTAATATATAATAAATAGTTATTGGATGTGTAGCATCTAGTGATGCCGACAATACTCTTGACAAAACCTGATAAAAATATAAACTAGCTACGTAATAGGTTTATACTGTTTAT